AATAACAAATCAAGACAATGACAAAACAAATCAATGTCAATTAACGAGCAATGAGGCACCGCATTTTTCAACCCACGGGCTGAGGATTGCCGAGGAACCAGGTGACATCGCAGGAGATACAGTTCGACATGTATTTGTGAAACCTGTCGCCATATATGCCATATTTCAACTGACGAAAGCACGCCGCGGCAAACTTTAGTTGCCGGGCCACTGGAAGCGTCGCGACAATGCGTAAGGCCGGCCCAGTCTCATCAAGCTGTGCGTCTGCAAAAACCTCGTGCCTTAGTTGACATTGAATGAGTCACTGACGCGCCTATTTTTTGGGGCAAGTGTAATTGTTATTACGCCGACTGTCACAAAATTATGTCATAATTATTATGATACTGTCATTGTCGCGACGAATGCAACCTGAGGGCAGGATGGTGCGAAGGCCATTTGGCATATTGTGGGATGTCAAGACAGCCTCCTCATCGCCGATGTGTGGGGAAACTTGAGGCGGAGGTGGGTGAGCTCTCCACGGTGGAACGCAACCTGGTGGGCTGGTGGAACTGGTGGATGCCGCCTGTACTCGTCGTGCCTTAGACGGTGGCACTGGCTGGTCATCATCTGACTCGACCTCATAAACCTCAGCCTTGTCCTCTGTCTTGTCAGCATCGTCACGAACCAACCTTAGTTGCATTTTGTTATGATTACATGGCAATGAAGTTCGCAAAGAAGTTCAGACAACTTCAACTGCACACAAGCCAAGCGACGGCCAAGGCTTGCAGGTGTTTTCTTTCCAGAAGTTATCAAGGCATGCCCCCAACCAGTACACGTAGTCTGCTTCATTTCGCAGGTCCCGGTTCCGGCCAATGACCCTGAGCACGGTGTTCCGATAAAATGCCATTTGCCTTGGCTAGACAACTCTCAACCCGTCAGCTGTCAACTCAACCTATGTCTGGTTTTAAGACATTAAATTTTGCCTTCAAGGTACCGTGTCTGAAAAGAGTCACTGGAAGGTGACAAGAAGCTCTCACAGTCCTGGATGTCATGGGTCCAACTATCTGAGAGGGAGACGATGACAGGGCATACCCACACTCCGGTTTCCTCAACGGCTTGTCTAACGGGTCGCCAAAGAAGTGACAATCTGATCACAAACACTAACAGCACAAAGTTGACAATGACTGACAATGACGACACTGACAGTGTCCAAAGCACCCACAAGATGCTTGCGATCAGCATCACAAAGGCTCCAGTGCGATGATACCCAGCATTGCATGAAAGGAAGATCCTCAGGATATTCTCGTTGAATAAGTTCACGATCATCTGCACGACATCTTTGCATCGTCGGTGGCTGTAGACCTGCAACAAAAGCTGAAGCCACGGGCAAGAACACTCCCAGGACAATTTCTTTCAATTTCAACGTGCGTTTAAGATCGTTAAGCCCAGTCACTCCACGCCGCGTTTCGTGATGGGCGCAGCCGCTGTGACGGCCGCCCCAATAGTGGCCATCTTTGGTGTGGAAGAGGTGTTCTGCGAGGTCTATGTCGATTGTGGTCCAGTGATCCTTGAACTTTTTCCAGTAATGATGTGGCCTCGAGATTCTCCATCCGCAATCAAGGATCACATCAACCTCATCAGATGATGCTGATGCTGCTTTGTTGAAAGTTGGTCTCAAACAAACGCAAACAATTAAATTGAAACATACAAAAACTCAATGATGACGATATTCACGCCTGAGCCTTCTTGTCGTGTCGGGGCTTGGGTTTCCTAGCCCATCCAAAAATGATAACTTGCTGTGCCGGCGTTGACGACATGGCTTCACTCGGAGGAACTGTGCAAAAAGGCTAGTTCATCGTGGAAGAACAGTCAGTGTGTGTCATTAAAATGTCATTGAGTGCCACTTGCACTGCTTGAATGACTGAATGTCTTGAATGTCATTGCCAAACATCGTTCAGCCTCAAACATTTTGGCATGTGGTGAATGACAATGACAAAATCAAGGCACTCCAGAGTCAATGACAGCAAGTGGCCGAAGAGTCAAGCCGGCCTTTGTGAGGAGGAGGACGGGGCAGAACAGTCGTGCTCGTCAGAATCGGCCATGTTGAACACGCCTTGGCATCAAGGTGGCTCTGATGGAATCTGGCCATGGCAACTTACAGAACGCTTGTTATTATTCAGTCACTGACACTCTTTGCAAAGCGCCGCGACCGTAACTCCTGTCAAATGAAACTATATAATCACTGTATTATTATTGTCACATCCACTTAGCAAGCTTCAGCGTAACCGTTCTGCTTGTTTTGCAGTCCTGGTCCTGGAGGGTCCTGGTCTTCGCCCTGACATTGGAATTCCATGACATCAACTGACGGGAATGACAGGAATGAATATCTGGCCTGAGGAGGCTTCTCAATGAGTTTCATGGAGATGCTCAAAGTCTGGAACACCTGCATGGCCTGGCAATTGAGGTCAGAGACGAACAGAGCAGTACATGGAGGTCAGTGACAATTTCAAAAATAATAAACTAACATAATAAATTATACATGACAATTGTCCTCATCTTCGGTGATGTCTCGCTTCATCATGGACTCCACCAGCTGGATCGAGGTATCCAAGGTCACGTTGATTTTCTTCCTGGAGGTGTCGAATTAAGGAATGTGTGTGTCCAATGCGTGCGTCCAACGGCTGCGTCCTGACCAAGCTGACCACACACTTTTCGACCTTCTCGATGGCTTCGTGTAGATCCATCCGACCTGATCATCAATACTTAATGGATGCCAATGATGGCCAAGAGGGGATGTAGCTGAGGTCCAAGCACAAAATGACTGTGACTGGCACCAGGCAAGGACGGCTGCGGTGACAATGACTGACAAGGACAGCTGCGGTGACAATGACAAAGACAGCTGCGGTGACAACAATGACTGAGAAATCAAAAGCTTCCTATTCCTGTCGTGATTTATCCATGTCAAGACTTGGGTAAATCACGACGGGAAACTAACTTGCACCCAACTATTAAACTTAATGCCTGGACTTTTCAAAATAAATAAACCGAGAAATGAAAATTGATTTTAAACGTCGTGAAAATTTGGAACGACTCACGTCCTCATTTCCGGACTAAGTCAGAAAAAACTGGGAGGACTCAGGTTGAGTTGAAAAGCTGGCAGGTTGAGAAGCTGGGGGAAGGCATGTCACTGATCAATCACAGGTTGAGTTGACCAGACAAGCTGGCAGGCTCAGTCTGTTGAGTAGAGTCTGTTGCTGAGTAGCTGGGGGAAACAAAATCCCCCTTAACAGCCACCCAGAAGACGAAAAAACGGTCGGAAACCCGAGACATTCCGAGACGTTCCGGGGTCCTGGATTTTAGGCGTTGTGACTCGAGTTTCCGCTCGAAATTCGAAACAGATCGAGACATTCCGAGACATTCCGGGGCCCTGGATTTTCGGCGTTTTGATTCGAGTTTCCGCTCGACAGTTCGAAGCAGATTGAGCCACTCTGAGACGCCCCGGGTCCTTGAATTTTTCCATTTTATAGGATATACAGATATAAGCTCCCCGGTCAGAGTTTGCTTGGGCCGGGGGCATTCTCCGCTGTTCGCGGTTCGACCGCGCGATCGCTGCAGGCATTTTGGTGGATTAGCCTGCAGAACGGGAGTTGGCACCATGGCGAGCCAGGATGGGCAGCCGGACCGTATCAATTCGTGGCTGCACACAGGAGGCCGGCGGTCCTGCCGCCAAGCGTCTTCCTCGCGTCAAGCCTCCTCCCAGCGGTCCGGCCGCCAAGCACCCTCCCAACCCCGCCAGCCACCCCAGTTGCCGGCGTCGTTCCAGGCGTTGTCCTGTGCTGTGTCCCACCAGCGGCCCTGCCGCTGCCAAGCCGGCTCGTGCTCGGCCTCCTCCGCCCAGCGGCCCTGCCGCTGCCAGCTGGCCTCGTCCGCCCAGCGGTCCTGCCGCTCCTCCCAAGCCATGCGCGACGCGTCTCGAATTGCTCTGAACCAACACTTCTGCGCGTGCGTGCGGGTGGTGACTTTTTGTAATTTTGTATGTTATACGTTTTGCTAATTTTCGTCTTCAAAAATCGCACTTTCTCTGGAAAAAATAACTTCCAGTATATAACTTCCGGATATCTTCACGAAAAAATGAAAATCAATACTCTGAAAAACACCACTAAGTTATTAGTAAGTTATATCTTCACTATTACTTTAAAAGAAATCCATAACTTACTTATCCGGAACTTACGCAAGATATAGTGCTCTATAGTACACTATAGTGAACTAGTTCACTTTAACTTCAATAACTTCCGGGTCTCACCTTGTAGTAGTAGTAGTGGTGGTGTAGTAGTAGTAGTCGTAGTAGTAGTGGTAGTAGTAGTAGTATGTAGTAATAGTAGTAGTAGTAGCAGTGGTAGTAGTAGTAGTAGTAGTAGTATTACTAGTAGTAGTAGTAGTAGTAGTAGTCGTAGTAGAAGTAGTCGTGGTGGTAGTAGTAGTAGTATGTAGTAGTGGTGGTGGTAGTAGTAGTGGTAGTATGGGAGTAGTAGAAGTAGTATGGTAGTAGTATTAGTAGTAGTAGTAGTAGTAGTACTACTACTAGCTTTTGAAAGTCCGTAACACGGAAGTTTTGCACTCCAAACTTCCTTTGATCATGTCTGAATGTAATGCTTTACAGGAAAAATTGCTGAGATTGTGCTGGAGCTGGTGCTTAGCAAGAATTAGTTACACCTCAAAATTCCATTGATGGGCCAGTGGCAGTGGTCATTGCCTCCTACATCTCGTTAGCAAAGAAACACAATACACGGGGATGCATGGAAATGTCATGCGCCGGCAAAAGCCAGCCACCAACGGCTATGAAAGGGACCAAAGCCCAAAAGCCTGGTCAAATCCGGCTGGCAAAACAAATGCCCCAGAAGAGTCCATGAGATGTGAGCCCAATAGCAGGAGCTCACACTGACACTCACAAATTTCGGAAAAGCACCTGACTGGATTGAACAAATTTTCCAGGAAACAACGATCAAAGTCAGCCGAGTATCAATGTGAAATCCTCTGAATTGCAGGCCACACAAGCAAATCCGGGCATTCCATATGTCTGCGTCTCATCATAGACAGGTGAGAAGTAACCTTTCTTGCAACGACAGTCTTCCAATGCAACGGCTGGCGGCACAGACTCAGTGTTGTCCGGACATGCTTTGCACGCCGTCTGCCCCACCTGGAGACATGAAGTGCCCAAAAACTCCAAACATTGCGCGTACAATAGCAGCTGGAACCTATGTAAAACTACCTCGTATCACAAATCAATCGTTGTGCAATTCGTTCGCGGCTTGAAACTCATTTCCTCACTACCGCCACCTCGTCTTGATAGGAAGTCGATGGACAAAAAGTACAGCCTAATGGCCATTCGTCAGTGAAGCTTGTTGAATAAGTCCCTTTGGGGCACGGTTCGCATACATCAGTGTCCTGAGCACAAGAGACTGTAGGACTGTAGGAATTCCCAGATAAGCCCATAGTGGCACCCTGGGAGAATGCAAAAGATTGACCCATAGCTTGAAGCAAGAAACTTCTCCAATTCTGTAGTACCCCTCCTTGCCACAATATAGAAATGTCAAAACATAAACTTGAAACATACAGGTTGCAACATCAGAAAAAGGAGTCTACAAATCGGTAGCCTCTTCACATTGAGAAAGTTGTGTCGCCAAATACGGCACGCTCGATTCAGAAAGAGAGCCAACTGTCATTCTCACTTTCACCTCAGCCACGCTTACCGCATTTTGGACATTGAAAGCGACAAATGATAATGACTCAATCCAGGCAAGGCGCTTCCACAACCCTCAGCTGCTCGAACGAAAGTATCAGGGCAGGATCTGGAATTGAAACTAACAAACAAACACTGCCATAGCCAATACCAAAACACTAAGAAGCATTGCAATGGAACATCAACAAGCATGGCATGGTCCTGAGGTGAAACGGAAACAAGTCGCTATATTATATATCCCGATGCGAGTTGATGCCTGAACATGCCTAGGCTAGACAAATTCTTGTGCGCAAGTCCTAATCAATCAATGTCCACTCCATCCAACAGGTACATGGAGCCCCTCTTCGAGCTGGCTCGTTGCTGTTCAAATTTCTCCGAGATGCTCCGAAATGATTTTACCTCGAAGCTCACCATCCTCCGGTTCAGCTCGGGACGCCCTTCTGGCTGCGGACATGCCACACTTTACATAGGTGTTGTTCAGGACCTGCAATCGCTTGACGGTGCCTTCAATGGGTCAGTACCAGCAATCAAAGACCCCCCATTTGGCTCCACTCCTGGCAGAACTATATAAGACTGAGAGCGTCACTTGAATGTTGCAGGTCGCGCTTCCGACCGTGATGGTGGTGGCTGAGCCCAGCAGCTGCATCGCCGGAAGAGTCTCGGCCACCGAAAGTCGTCTCGGTCTCGAACTGTTGGGCACAAGCGCGGAGAGCTCAGTTTCACTCATGTGCTCGTCTATGCTCAGGCGCCTGGTTGTCACACAAGGGCAAGCGCACACGGGAATGTCTGTGTGCACCTTGGATTCAGAGGTTACCTTTTGGTATGTTTCCGAAGACATTTTTTTGCAGGGGCGTAAGGCTCATCGTACCCACCGTACGCAACGAAGCTACGGTACGATGTGGGTTGGGTGGACAGGTTTCGCTGGTTGGGGCCCTCTGCACTACTTAGGCTTCCCTTAAACTACCAAGGTTGCCGCGTGGCATGTGGCTTTCAGATGCTTTCAGTTCGTACGTTCGCTTCCCGAGTGTGTGGGCTAATGGAAAAACCAGTTGAAAGTTTCTTCAGGATTACGATGCAACGCTGCAACGTGCAACATATGGTGGTTGATCAAAATTCCTTCTTGCTGGAGGGCCATTCTTCGCGATAAAAAATAACATTCGCGAATCTTTCGCGAACTCCATGTTTAACTTTCGCGGGGGGTATATCCTCTGGAAGTTGTCTTGGTTTAGTGGTTCTACATAGCAGCCTAAGCACTTCCATCAAGCACCATTTTGGAGCTGCAGACGAGGTTGAGGTGTTACAAGGCAGATTGGCGAGAACTCAATCACCACCATTGGATGAATCAGCAGAACTGGTGGAGGATGAGCTGGAAGAGCTATCAACGGTCGTTGCGCTCATGTCTTGCTAGCTTGGGCAGGGGTCCACAAACAAAACAAGCCTGCTTTCGCGGAACTTTCGCGAATCTTTCGCCAAGAAAATGTCGCGTCATTGGTGGGTTTCTAGGCGCACAGCGTAACAACCAGTGGCAGCAGCACGAGGAGGAGTAGTAAGAAGTGGTAGTGGTAGTGGCAGTAGCAGGAACAGCAGCAGGAGCAGGAGCAGGAGCAGGAGCAATAGTAGTAGTAGTAGTAGTAGTAGTTGTTGTTGTTGTTGTTGTTGTTGTTGTTGTTGTTGTTGTTGTTGCTGCTCACACAGCACTATTGCAAATCACTGATGATAGTATCGCCTCTTCATGTATACAATATACATATGTGTATATATATAATAGAATAGACTGAAACTCTTTCGCAAATCTTTCGCCAGAAAAAACTAGACGACGGTTGGCCCGAGAGCGAGACATGTAATTGTCCAGCACTGTCGAAAAGATGTATAGAAAGAGAGAAAGAGAGGGTGGATGTGAAGGAGTGACAGTGTGATGCGCAGGTGCGATATAGATCTGTAGATGTATGGAGGTGGAGAGGTAGATCTGTGGATGTGAGCGTGCGAAGATGTAAATGCACAGAGACGAGAGAAAAGATATGTAGAAAGAAAGAAAGACAGGACAGATGTGAAGGAGCGACAGTGTGGATGTACAGATGTGATATAGATGTGCAGATGTGTGGGTGTAGTGAGGTGGAGAGGTAGATCTGCGGATGTGAGCGTGTGAAGATGTAAATGTAGAGAGGTGACGGGGTGTAGACGTAGGTGCGTCGATGCAACGGCAGTGCAACGTCAACCTTGTGCAAGCACAACTAGAACTGAAGAACGTGCATTTCACACTGAAGTCACTGAAGTTTCCACGGACAGGGCGACCTGAGAGTAAACGACGTCACGATCATGACAAGCGACTCGTGTATTCCAAACGAACATCGTTTGTCATGAAGGTGAAGTACACACATACTACTAACGTCACGATGACTCTTTTGTGGCAGCCACTTATGAGTAAGCAAAGTAGCTAAAATTTGTCAACCTCTCAAGAGAGCCGGGTGGTCGGGAAACATGACTCAGCTGCAGGGGCGCCAGAGCAGCCGCTAGACATAACTCAGCCGCGAGAGACGACTCATCCGCGTGTACTACAAAGTCGCCAGTTCTCAGCTTCCAGCTCCACAGCTTGCTCCGCGTACTACAGTTGTACTACAAAGTCGCCAGTTCTCATCT